GTATTGGGGAAAACCCGGGGGGTCCAGAAACCAGTCAGTATCTGGTGTGACCACCATTTGCCTCACGCAGTGCAACACATCTCCTTCACATAGAGTTGATCAGGTTGTTGATTGAAGCCTGTGGAATTGTTGGTCCAGTCCTCTTCAATGGCTGTGCAAAGTTGCTGGATATTGGCAGGACCTGGAATACGCTGTCGTATATGCCGATCCAGAGCATTCCAAACATGCTCAATGGGTGACATTGTCAGAGATATTGTGTAGGAAAGAAAATACGTATATATTGTGTGATAAAAATAATACATGAATGATGGCAAAAACACAACTTAGCTAATATGCCATGAGGTGCTAAGATAGAAAGACAAGATGTTTTTCTCAAGTTTTGCCTTGTCAGCTAAAAGAACTAGACAGTGAGTAAATACATGTGTCAATAAATATTAGAACAAAGATAAGACAAGTATGTGTTAATTAAAAGGTATTGTTCAGCAAACACACATACATATTGCTATACGGTATATTATTACATTTAGTTATACAAAATTTTTTATATAGTGTGATATATTCTTAGTTAGCAACATATACATATATAGAAATATATATATATATACACACACACACACACATGTAAAGAGGTCATTACATATAAATAAATTAAGGTGGACAACTTAAAAATCTTGAAATTGAATAACATAAGCAAGAACCCATTAGGTTTGAACGACCAAAGTCCAAATTGAGAAAAACGCTGACTCAAAAGCATCTTGACATTAAAACATTCCTACTTGTCCTGTACAAGAGTTATCCTTATATGATAATAGCTGGTAATATTCCTGACGTAAGCCCACAGCTCCACCTGCTGTTTGAGACATATAGAAATAAATGTCAAAATGACGCAACGGCCATTAACATAAGACTTGACCTAAGATTCCATTGGACCAGGTCAGAAGGTTATAAGATAAGGAATGACATATAACCCCATGGCATAGGGATAGAAGGATCTTCTCATCATCTTCTTCTCACACCATCATTACATCATTGATTCATCATACTACTCGGACAATCTCTTGAAATCCCATTGATCCCATTGTGACAAACTGAACATCGTCACATGTTCTTGGAGGGGCCTGCTGGCCAGCCTCTTACCAAAAGACTATGGGCCCTTTAAAAATGTATGTGAACAGATTTGGTTCGTGGGAATTTATATTTGGTTCAGGAACCGAACAGCCTCACGAACCGGAGACCACCCTGGAGCTTGTTAAGTCTAATTGCTACTTTGTAACACTTTCCACCGCAGTGTTCGTCTGGGTGCATTTCTTATGGATGACCACAAGGTGGCAGCCATCTTGTTCGCATGAAACAGGCAGCGGTGTTTGGTCGTCGAGTTCATGGAACTATTTTCGGACACTGAAACTCCCGAACACTGCTGGACTTGTTGGGTTTTTTCGCTGTCCTCCACCCACCCAGCTCCAGCTTCCAGTGGGTGAACCTCTCCTTAGTCCAGAGAGCGAAACAGGAACAGCTCTTACAAGAGCAAGTGATTATACTCTGGGGGAGTAAAGTGATTATAGCAATCCCCAGAGTGTAGTTCTCCAATCCGCCAAACATGAGCCAAGACTTCATGAAGGGTAGAACAGGTCTGTTTAATGCAAGCCAGCACTCACAATTTTTACAATTCCTCAGGCCAGAGGCACACCCCATGGGCCTGATGGAACACAGGCACACAAACCAATCAGAACAATACAACAATGTTCGACACTCCCACATACAGCACACAAGCCCTCCCATCTGCCTGTGATACAATTAACTAAGACAATGGACTAACTCAATTAACTCTAAGCAGAAAAAAACTAATTTTTACAAACCCCAAAAAGTACCGCAAAATACAACATATCCCCACAAAATACAGTCACATCCCCTAATAGCCCCGATCTGGGTGAACAACATATCCAAAAATCACCCAGATCGGTTCAGGGGGTCAGGAATTTCCTGGAAGTCTTATTTTGCACATGGTCCCATGCTCAAAACAGTTCCATACATTTGACGGCAAAACACTGCTGGACAATTTAAGATGCCCTCCGCCACATGTTTGAATCTGTTCCACTTAAAAGTCCAAGGGGCAGAAACAGTGCCTTTAAAATCCAATATGCCCAAATAGTTTTTTTAAAGGGCAATATATCCCAGGGGCCATAGTCACAGGGCAAGAGGCTGGTAAGCAGGCCTCTCTAAGTCCCAGTGATGAAGGTGCTTTTGTCACAAATATCTAAAAAAAAAAATATTTAAATCAATATATCAAAAAATATAAATAATTTCAAAATATTAAATCATTTTAAATGTTTATCCAAAAATATGAAGCAATTAAAAAGCTTTTTTTTAAAAAAAATATTGAATTACAGCCATAATTAGCTGGCTCGGGAAATATAGGAAATCTGGTAATTCTACCAGCACAGCAAAATGGGCTACCCGCATTACCTTATTTTATAATGTGTGTTTTTCCCTTTTTATAGGATAATTTCACCTTGTGTTGTGCTCTTCTTTTTATTTCTTTTTGGATTACGTCTTTATGCTTACGCTATCTCTGTCTTGAATGAGCCATAATTAACCACAAAGAAAGTTTTATTCCAAAACAAATTATCTCCAATAACAATATGCATGTAAATTATAACTTGTTTATGGTACCAGCATTGAAAATAAAAATTCTAAAATAAAAATTTTTTTTTAAAAAGGAAGAGAAGAGAAGATTGCTATTTGTTCAAATTGTGCCAAGTCAGTTGTTGACATCTGCAGTGACATTTTGTGGGTTAGACTGTCTATAGATTTTGTCAGCACAATATAATACATATATTTGTAATTTTAAGAAACCTTTTCTACAGTTATAATTTGCTAGTTCTTTTCTCAAATTCTTGGCACAGAAAACGTATTGTTGCATCTATTTTGCAAATCTGCTGAAGAGTTCAGAATGATGTGTTTGCAGTGTAAGATATTGAATTGCACAGACAACTCTGATTATTGATGAGCTACCATTGTAATGTGTTTTGCCCTTGAGCACAAGTCCTTGATCATGCCCTTCAATTAGCTTTTTTGTTCTGTTTGCATTATAGAAATGTTTGTATTTGTGGTTACATATGTTTAATAGCTTTATTTCATTATCATGCATTTTATCTTAAATCCAGAAGTACATATATTAGTCCATTAAAGGAACAATTTAGGCACCATAACAACTTAATTAAAATGGTCCCTGTACATACGTGAGTACGTCACGCAAAAAAAGAGCCTTTCAGGGGTGGAGATGTGAGAGTGCACAAGAAGAGAGTGTCAGGATTACTAGTTGATCCAGCATGTAAAATTATGTCACACCTAGGACTAAAGGTAATGTTTTACCGTACCTTAGAGTGGCCAGAGAATAGTCAGAATACTTGCCAAAGTCAGGGACACAGAAGGAGACCTAACATAACAAATTCCTGTCCTAATGTGTGTTACACCCCACCTCCTATAGAATGTAAGCTCGATTGAGCAGGGTCCTCTTCAACCTATTCTTCCCGTAAGTTTATTTGTAATTGTCCTATTTATAGTTAAATCCCCCTCTCCTAATTTTGTAAAGCGCTACGGAATTTGTTGGTGCTATATAAATGGCAATAATAATAATAATAATAATAATAATAATAATAATGAGGGAAAACCAAAAGTCAAGGATACCAGAAATCAGGGAAGTCAAACAAAGCCAAAGTCAATAACCAGAAATAAATGCTCAGGAACACACTCTCGGACAACCATTAAGGGAAACCATGACAGGGCAATGAGGGAAGGCATATGACCCCACGCACGCTGACGTCGTCAATACCGTGGGCGGACGTCGAGCTACAAATTGGTATGGATCTGCAGCGGCCAGCGTCTTTCAGCACGCCGCAATAGCCAGACACAGCAGCACAGGGCCACCGAAAAGCATCTTCACCAATGCCAGGAATGTAGTTATCCTCCCGGATACCACAAGGTGAGGATGAACATGTGACAGAGAGTGACTCGGACAAAGGCCCTTTCTGCTCAGAGTAGCAGGATGCTGGCCTATAATTGCAGGGGATGCAATCCTACATTCGCAGGACAAACCACTCTTTGACCGAGATGAGCTTCATCATACGACCTCTGCAGAGTGGCTCCCAGTGGATCACATTGTTTGCTATCTGGAATATTGGCTTAGGTGTCACTTGAGCAAGGCTGCCTGTAGCAAGGTTATGGCTAAATGCCCTTGCCCTGTGGTAGCAATAAGGTGTGTGACACCTTTCTTTCCTGTCCCAGTTATTTGCGGTCTTCAGTACAACTCTGGCTCGCTGAGTTAAGTGGATCATGTCCAGGCAGGTGTGAATACCACTACGTTTGGGGCACATTCATGGTTGGCTGCTTCCAAAGTCTTTTGCTTGGTGGACGTATGGAGGATTTGATGGGTACAACTGATCTGTTCAAATGAGTCTGCATTTTGTGAGTTTTTTTTTTTATTTTTTATTCTTTATTTTGGTAGTGCTTCAAGGTACAATTTGCAAGTAAGAATATAACTGCAATAATAAGGTTATCATGAGAGCAGTACATGTCAGGATTACTATTTTGTGAGTAAAACAAATTAACGCACCTGTGAGAACTTAACTACTAGCTGACAGTAGGATGAGACTTAGTAATAGAGTTTATGTGTGGGAGTCAGCAAAGAAACAAAAAAATAAAACATCTAGGCATACTTATATCACAGGACAGTACACAGGAGAAAAAGTCCACCAAACAGTAGGTATTCTGGGCTCAAAGTGACAGCGAAAAATTTACAAGATAGACAAACTCAGATAGAGTTGTAAATTGTGAGCAAGGATAAGCAGTGGCTAAATATCAGAGGCAATAGCATGTTTAGTCGCTTGGGTTAGGTGGTCCTGCGAGTATTGCCTGTTCAACCGATGCCTGTAGCGGGCAGACAGAGTCCAGATCTGTACTTATGGAAGGTCGTGGTATCCTCGGTGCCATATTGTGCTGCATCACTGCAGCCCCTGGTAGGAACGGGAACCATTTTCCCATATCCACAGACCCCTTTCACCAGTACGGGGAGGGCATATCGGGATCTCGGGCGGCAGTGTTTTACCCAGGTGCATGGCCTGCTGGCGGGCACGTGGTCCTTCTTGGTTCTCTGCCTGGGATGACGGCGCCATACCGGGGCTCTGAGTAAGTGCTGTGCCTTGAGAGTGGGTAGATCTGGTGGTTTCTACCGAGCTTCCAGGTTCATCCAGAACCGCTGGCATACGGCGTCAAACACTGCATGGAAGTCAGCTTCCCAGCTTCTAATCTCACCATTCTGTGTAGTATCCTTGGTGTCAGCCATCTTAGATAGACTGCGTGGAAGCCCCTTTCATAGAAGTTTCCCAGGAACGATGCGAAGGTGAGTACTTGCTTGGTGGGGACCGGGATAACACCCACTGGGCACCACAGCCCAGCTTCAGGGCACCACAGCTTGTTCCAGAAGTTAGTCGTAGATTAGGTTGGTTTGGTTTGCTGATAATCAAGAAATCGGCTGATTTAAAGTTAGGCTGGGAGCTCACAAGATGCATGTCTAGCCACCATGCTGCTCAGACTCTGTTCCCCTTTGTGAGTTTTATTTTAAATTTATTCTACTTTTTTTTTTTTATTCGGTCATCATTAAGCTTTAAACTTGCAATATGAGCCTCTGTGTCTTGTATTAAAAGGAAAAGATTTTACTGTTTCATGATGGGAAGTCACAATTTTAGATGGGCGAGCATTGTCCTTCCCTTTGATGCATTCACTTTTCACCTTTTTCTTCCTGCCCTATGTTTTCTTCATATATATCTTCTTGGCTATAGTGAGTACACTGGTGGTGTGGGACGGTTACTCTTCTATGGCTTCGTTGCATTGTTTGTTCGCTTTATTATTTGATCTGCATAATGATTTAAATGTGCTTGGACATGCTGTTACTGGCTTTATGATTGCATTTATTTGGTCAAATAATGCCATGTCGTTAGCCCTCTGAGAACATTTTTGGTGTATGTTATCAAATCATTAGGCTCGTGTGTGTTTTCTTGTCTTTGTAGTATGATTTGGCAGAAACTACGCCAATGCATGGCCTGGAGTTTGTTGCCTTTGGAATCTCTGGTGGTTGTTTGCATTTGATGACTGTGTTGCTGGACCTCTGTGTTCTTGTGGGACAGGATCCTTTCTGATAGTTTGGAGTGACAGGAGTTTCTAAATATCAACTTTGTTAATCTGCAAGCTGTCAAAGAAAAAGGAAGTACTGGTGGTGGCGCCTGGTCTTATACAGGGTTCTGTGTCAGGATTGGTTGAGGGTATCCCTGCATGTTTGTTTTTCCTATCTGTGTATTATGTATTTGCTGCTATTGTTCTTTAGTATAGAAAGGGTAAAGCAATACTTGTCTCTGTGTCTTATAAAATCATGACTTTCCATTGTGAATGGTAAAATCATGTCATTACAGTTTATATTCCAGTAACAAAAGCCAAACTAGCGTGTTTCCATACAGCTCACCAAATACGTCACACCCCGGAAAGCATTTTAAAGGGACACTATAGTCACCCAGACCACTGCAGCTTAATGAAGTGGTCTGGGTGCCAGGTCCCCCAGGTTTTAACCCTGCTATGTTTACATTGCAGGGTTAATCCAGCCTCTAGTGACTGTCTTCCTGACAGCCGCTAGAGGCGCTTCTGAGGGTGGGGAGGGGGGGGTGACCTAACCTAAGGGTTATATAGTGCCTTCATTGCTTTTTAGGCAGTTTATTTAAGAAGAAATAATTTTTATGCTCTACTTTATCCATGTAAATGCTGTGCTGGTCAGTCTAATTGTACCAACAGAAAAAATGAAATGTACACTGTTGACAGTTTTTTTTTTTACACAATGAAAGGATGCGATAAGCAGAGAATGAAGTGCTTTCTGTTTCCTGTTTGTTCAGTAACGATATAATTAATAATTTATGCGTACAGCATCATTTCTCAAGGGTCTATCTTGTTACCTACATGGCGTCCTAGTAAGATATGGTGTTACAGTTGTCGGCAAAGGGAGGAAAATAACATGACCGTTTGTACTGTGTCTTATTAGAGAGGGGAAAAAAGCAACAACAACAAATATATTATTATTGTCTTTTATTTAGATGCATTGACATAGCATCTTAAACAATGGAAACAAATCTAAATCTAGACTGATCCCAGGAATCTCACATTGATTAATTGTAGAGCTGGAGGTACGGTGCATCACAGCGTAATATTAGTTTATACAGTGTATATACCATTAACTAATAAAAGATCCAGGAACATGTCCAAATATTATAACGCCTGGCACATTCATCCTAATATGGATTTATTTCTAATCCAAAAGGACTCCAGACTGAAATGACCACACAAATATCTGAAAAACAATACACGACTATGAGCACTTAAGGTGGTTTATACAATTATCATATGATCAAACTATTCATAACTGCTACAATATTTAAGTGGGTGTTGACCCAGACACTACAACTAAAATTACATGCAAAAAAAAAAAGTGTAGGTTGCAGTGAAAAAAGACTAACGCGGGTATTCACAGAAGTGAGCATTAAAAGTGAATTTCAGCCTGGGAGGAAATGAGAGCCAGTCACTTCCTCCCAGCTACAAGGAGAGCATCGTGGAGGAGGCAGAACAGAGGCGGCGGCGGCACAGGCAGCATTAAGGAAAATAAAGGGAGAAAGAGAGCTCCTCTAGCCCCACACTCCTATCATATCAGCCTAAGCCAACAGCAGGACCCCAAGCAAACCACCCTCCTGCACATAAAAGGTATATTAACAGGAGAGTTGCTAAAAATATAAAAACCTATGACACGTGTTTATATCTGTATATATGTGTCAGCATGAGAGGGTATCTATATGTGTCACGTTATTATATGTGTGTGCCTGAGTGTGTGTGTATGGTGTGAATGTCTATCTGTTTAAATATGTGGCAGTGTATGTCTATATGTGCATATAAAAGGACACACACGACAAACCAAGTGGCCTTTACATTGAAGTTGATGTTCATACTGAAAAGACTTCTGATCCTGGCTCCTGTGAAGCAACCTGTGATTTACCTTCATTGCTTCTAACCTGATCTACTACCAACCCTGCTCCATACCAACCTGGATTGCCTGCAACTTTGCTTTATCCTGCCTACCTGAATTATACAAACCCGCATAACCCCAATCTGGACATTGCTGCTTACTCTTATTTACAAGGTGTTATTTTCATACCCTGAAACCTTTTTTGTTCTTTATACCTGTCTTACTCTTCTACCTTTACTTTTATCTCTAGTTTTCTTATTATTTGCAAATAACCTGTTTATTATCTATATAGGGCATATTGCCTTAACGTTTATTTTCCTGACATATGGTGGCAGTACAATAGGGATGTACTCTTCCCTCGGGACAAGCATCTGAAATAAATAATTAACATAAAAAGTTCCTCCCCTTACCAGGTATAGGAGACCAAACCTGCCCTGGGACCTCAGTTCTCTTTCTTGTTCCATCAGGAACAACATCATCTGGAATGAGATGGTGAGGCACATGGGTTGCTGCCAAGGGGATCCGGTCTGATAGCCTCCCGGGTGGAGAGCTGAATGGCCAGCAAGCATCCTGCAGGATTACAGAGAAGGTATAGTAAGCCTGATTTATGCCGAGTGCAGTCACCGGTGAAGCAGGGAGGCGGTCTCTAGTGGCAGCAAATCCCTGCCCGTTGGAGACGCATGCACACAGCGGTAGAACGCACGTCCGGGTGGTTATGCATTCCACCGTAGTTCCGACCGCGCTATGCGCATGCGTGGTCTGAACTCCCCAAAATGGCGCCAGATTTCAAACAGATCTGCCTATTTATGCTGTGCAGATCTTACTGTCAGCATGGATG